AGGGAGCAAGGACGGCAGCTAGGAGGCCCCTGCAGTTACCCAGCCCAGACCTGTCGGTGGCTTAGGTCAGGGCGGGACCCACGGTGAGCAGGGGCTGGATTCCAGACCTCGTCTAAAAATAGAGCGACAGAACTATTTGGGGGGCTGGATATGGGGTCTGAAGGAAAGAGAGTAGTTGCGGATGTGTGCCAGGTTTTAGCCTCCCAAGAGGTGGTTATGAGAATCAGAAGGAAGATGACAGGAAGGTGGTAGAGCTATGAGGAGGCTCCTGCAAAGTCCAGACATGAGATGATGAAGGAGGGAACAGGGCTGGTGGTAGAAGGGATGTAGGGAAACAGATGGATTTTATTTTTTATTTTTTTAAAGATTTTATTTATTTATCTGAGACAGAGACAGAAATAGTGACAGAGAGCATGAGTGGGGAGGAGAGGGAGAAGCAGGCTCCCCACTGAGCAGGGAGCCCCACGTGGTGCTGGATCCCAGGACCCTGGGATCGTGACCTGAGCCGAAGGCAGATGCTTAACCGACTGAGCCACCCAGGCGCCCCGAAACGGATGGATTTTAAAGTTTGGGATAAAATTGACAGTAAAAACATTAAAGTTTCAGAGAAGCATTTTGTGGCAGTTTCCCCAATATCCAGTCTCTCTTTCCTTAGTAGGTATAGCAATGTTAGCTGTGCATATGGATCCCTGGCAAAAGGTCACATTTCCCAGGTTCTCTTGCAGCTAGCTGTAGCCTATGACCAAGTCCTGGCCAGTTGACTGTGAGTGGAAATGGTATCAGCAGTGTTCAAATTGTGCCCTCCCAAGGCATTTCCCCTTTCTTCTGGTTTCTGTGTGGAATTGACAGCAGAGGCTAGGGCAGCCATCTTGGACCATGAAACATAAGATGCACACTGAGGATGGAGAGCAACAACATCAAGCCACACACTGACCTGCAAATTGTCTACCTAGGCTTGTTGATAAGAGAGAAACACACTTCTATCTTGTTTAAGCCTCCGTATTGGGGTTTGCTTCCTTACAGCTGCCTAAACTTTGGACAACCTAATACAAGTTCTGTCAGCCATTCTAAGCACAAAGCCCTGACACCAAATGCTATCAATGCCATGAAGTCAGAACTGTAGTCAACAAGGTAGAATTTAATTCCAATCTGCCGCTGCTTGTTTGCTCTTAAAATATTGGAGCAATATTTGAGCTTCAATGCCCTGAGTCACTGCCAAGTGTGGGACAGACTCCCCTCGTGCAAAGGAGGTAAGATCAAGTTCTAAGCCGGCACCAAATAAAAACACATACTTTAACCAAAGTCATGTCCTCGCTGTGTAAGGATCTAACGACTCACCACTGCATACAGAAGAGATGGAGCTGAAACCCGTGCCATCTCAGATGTGTGGCCAATGCTGCAGCACTGGCCACTGGACCTTTACACGTTCAGTAACCTCCAGGCACCAGGTCCACGTAGGAAGGCGGTGGTCTACAGGGTCCTGCAGTTCTGAGGCCCCCTGCATGAAACGTGCTGGCGCATAATCACGGTGATCTGACATAGCACTGCTCTCACTCGTTCTTTCCCTATCAAGCTCAAGAGAAAAAACTGCAGAGAAGCAAGTAGAGGGGTGGTGGAAGGCAAAAATCATTCCTGGCATGTGGGTCAAAGGAGGAAGTTGATGCACTCCAAGAGATAACAGACTCCTTCAGTGAAATGCCCCTTAAGGGGCATTATCTTGGGATAAGGGCCAAGTAGGTATAATTCCTCCAAACAGGCCATTGGTAGGTATTTTTCTAGACAATGAGGGCATCAGGCTAACTGTAAAGTAGTGGCACTAATATTAATAAAGTTGAGAGCAAAGGGGTCATGACTCGATTGAGGTCATTTAAAGAGCAAATATTCATTGAGCATCTCAAGTCAGACATAGAGAATATCATGTGTCAAAACTGTCTGCATGGTGCTCAGGATCTAGTGTGGAAGACACACCAGCCAGCCCTTATAACAGGGTGCTCAGGGCCAAAAGGAAACAAACACAGAGCAATAAGACAAGTGTGTGTGGGGGGGACTCAAATCTTGTTTCAGGAGCAGGGAATAGGACAGCCCTTCCCAAGAGAGGCTATAGGTAAGTCGAGGCCAGAAATGGTTTGAAGACCCATTTGCTACCTGAATAGAATGGGATGATATCTGCCTATGAAGATACCCCAATGAAATGGGGTTCATCATTGCCTATTTAATGTAAGTAAAATATGGCTGATATCTTGTAATACATAATCAAAGATCTGCTCTGTTGCCACAGTCAACACGAGTAACAGAAGACGTCCTATACTTTACAACCCCGTACTTACTTATTTTATAACTGCAAGTTTGCACCTCTTAATCTCCTTCACCTATTTCACCCATCCCCCCACCTTCCTCGCCTCTGGCAACAACCACACCTGAAACTAATATATTGTATGTCAACTCTATGTCAGTTTAAAAAATAGTTAAAGATTAAAATTAAAAAGAATCTAGTAAACACATTCCCAGAATGTAATGCTAATTTTCATGTTCATAGCCTTGCTAGATCCTTCAGGAACTACCCTATGCTAGCCACAAACACATGAAAGTCAGCCCCTGCCCTGGAGGCGCTCACAGTCTAGCAGAAAAAAATCCACCTACAGACCCGCCCTCTAAGTACAGTTCCCTTCCAAGCCGCCCTTCTCTTTCTTCCTCAGGGATAACTTCAGTTGTTCTGTTTAACTCAGCAATTTTCCCCGGCTGGCTGATGGGAAGAGCCAAGCTTCAAGCCTTCCCTGGAGACTCTCAGAGTGCTGGAGGTCAGTGGGACAGCAAGAGGGGGACGCTCCAGAGGGAAGTGAAGGGCCTCCTCAACAGCTCCCTGCCCTGCTGCTCCCTCCACTGCTCCTCCCCCTGCTCTCCCCAGGGGTGAACAGGGACGCCATCAGGCTCTCTCTGCATCACCCCAGATACTCGCCTCACCCCAGACCAGCATCAACTGACTTCAGGGACATACCAAAACAATCTTGAGCATTACAAAAGGGTCAGATCCCCTAGATTTATGGACAACGTCCCATTTATACTATTTAGCAGGAAAAAAAAAATATATCAGGGATGAGGGAAGAGTGCTTTTAAGGAGCCATAAACCTAGGGCTAAAAAAGACATTCAAGCCCCCCGTTTATTCTTTTTTAGCTGGTCACAAAGCAGTAAGTGCTGATTGATAATATGCCAGTACTTTTAAGGCAAGTATTGTCAAAACGACTGGAGTTTGTAGTAGGAATTTATTGTTTTGCTTTCCAGCACCAAGCCCTTCTTCATCTGATGACAGGACACAGATTTGCTGTGGAGGAGCCACATCCCCTTATTCCAAACCAGTTGGAGTGGCCCTACCTTAAACTTTACCTTTAATTCCAGGGGTGAGCCCTGACTGGCTTAAATTACGGTAATTGGTTTGAGAATAGGAAGGGAATTCAATCAGAGTTGATGAGACAGAAGGACTCTTTTTCTGAAGCTTCAGAGCAAGTATCCTCCCCTCCCAAAGAAAGTGTCTTTCTATCCTTGCACAGTGTGGTGTGAGAAAAGGAGATAGGAGATTATACCAGCATTGAAGTGAAAGACTCCACTGGCTGGAGCCTGACATTGTAGAAGCAGAACAGAGCCAGAGAGAACCTGCATCCTTAGAGATGCCATCTGGACTGCTTGGTCAAGACTTGCCTGCAACCCTTCCTCTAGATATTTAAAGAAGGTTTTTGTTAGTTAAGCCAGTTTGAGTTGAGTTTTCTAACATTTGCTACCAAAGCAATTACAATTCATAAAACACCTTAAGTATCCCAAAGTAGTGATATACAAAGGACTTAGAGTCTCTTTTGGGGGAGCAGGAGTAGTGTGATAAGCAGAGAGTGAAAGATTTTTTTTTCCTTAGCTTCTTCTATTAATTCTGTAGAAAATAATCCCAATACTTAGCATCTGTATAATTGTTCCTATTTCTCAAAAACATATTTTCCACATGTATTTCCTCACTTGAATTTCACAATTCTGAGTCAAAGAAATTAAAAATTTTTATTTTGTCGTAATTACCTATTTATCAAGCACTCTGTATAGTTTAAAATACTATTTCAAGTTCAGTAATTCATTTGATTGTCACAATAACCAGATGAGGTAGGAATGGCAATTCTGTCATAATATCCATTTTAGGCAGGAGAAAGTTGAACCTGAATATCTACCTGAAAGTAGATATTAAATGAGATGCCCAAGTTAATTTGAGGTGTCGGGAGACAGGCCTTAAATCCAGGTCTTTTGCTTCCAGGGTTTTAACTCCAGTAATACGAAACTCTACTCCCAGAATCTTAAGCACCACTTTCTGGATTCCAATGGCAGGGCCAGAACTAACTAGCTGGTGACCTTGAGCTAGTCCCCTTTGTTTTGTTTTCTCAGCTGTAAAAGGAGAGATTTGAATTAGGATCTTAGATGCCCCATCAAGATCTAAAAGTTCTGTAATTCTAGCCTTTTTCCCCCCCAGCTCTCAAAAATAATCTTTTTCTCAGAATAATAATTATAGCCTTAGCTGACATTTGTTCTCACTGGGTGTTAGATACTGTGCTAAGAACTCTACCTCCATTTTCTCTTTAAATCTCACAACACACCGGGGACAACTGTCTCTTATTTACAGATAAGAAAACGTGGACTTGACAGAGGCTAAATGAACTACCCACGACCAACAGAATTAGTAAGCCTCAGGGGGAGCTCTGACCACAGGCCGTACTGGCCAAGAGGACCTTGACCCAGTCTTTATTGTTCTTGTGGAAGAAATAAGGCTCCCTGCATTACTCGTCACCTCTTTCCACGAAGAAGAGGGGTGGGGAGGGGAGGGAAAAAAAAAAAAAGCCAAACCAACTCACATCAAGCCTCTGCAAGGCAAAACTGAAAGGGCGCCTGGGAGGATCCAGCCCAGACCCAGGGGGCGGGGCGCCCCTCCCCGCCAGCCACAGGACAGCGGCGTGGGCCACCTTACCCCCGTTACCTTGTTGAGATGCGGGTTCCTGGTGACATCGTATCCGCGCTTCTTCAGAGGCACGGGGCGAGCCGGGCCGGATTTGGAGTGGCAGCCTTGGGCGGGCGCGGAGGGCATCCAGCGCGGGACGCCGCCACAGGCCCAGCCCCGCTGGAGCGCCAGTCGCGCGCCAGTGCCCAGCGCGGCGCCCATGGTCCTTGAGCAGACCTGGCACCGGGGAGAAACCAAGGTCAGGGGCGCCTGACGGCCCACAAGGTGCCACGCGCGCCGCAGAGCACCGGGTCTGAGCCCGGAGCGCGTCCTCGGGGAGAGGGCAGGGGGGCCTGAAGGGTGAAAGGCACCAGTCCGCTGCCCCTCCTCGGCGGCCACCTGCGCGGCTCTCCAGTCTATAGCTTGAGGTGCGCAGGCCTAGCCAAGCCCCCGGCAAAGCGAAAGCAAGCCCAGGAAGCAGATCGGGTGCGGGTGACCGCCCGCGCCACCCCCGCCCCCATCCCCGCGAGGAAGAGGCCACTGCGTGGCGAGGGGCCCCCAAACCTCCAACCTCGCTCGGTGGCTCGCCTGGATCACTCCTTCCGCAGCCCACCTGTGCTGCGCCCAGAGCTGATGTCGCAGGCGGGGCGAGGCGCTGCGGTCCGCTGTTCCCCTCCCGCCAATGGCTGCACCGCACCCGCGGCCACGGGAGCGCAGGGCTTAAGCGTTCTGGAAAGAGAGGTCCCCAAACCCTTGTTCGCAGTGCGGGACTTCCCCTGAAGACGCGCGTGGAGCGCCTCGTAACCGTGTGCACGTGCCTCCCCAGTGACAAAATGAAGCTCAGAATGCCTCCTGAGCGTCTCCATCTTGACCAGCTGAAAGCACGGAGGGTGTTAGCGTTTAGGGAGCAACATGCCCTCTACTCTTGCGGGAAGGCCCTCGCTTTCGGATTCGAAGTTGAAATCCTCAGACACCCAGTGCTCAGTGTTGCTTTGCACTGCACAGTACAATAGCCATTAGGCACATGTGGCTCTATAAATTTGAATAAATTAATTTAAATGGAATAAGATAAAAAAATCCAGTTCCTCAATCACACCTAGCCTCATTTCAAGTGCTCAAGAGCCACTGGCACATAGCAGCTTGGCATTGGATAGCACAGATATGGAACATTTACATCTTTGCCGGAAGTTCTAGGGGACATCACTGGTACAGGGTCCACAGTTGCCAAAAGGGCTCCTGGGTACCCTTTGGAGCCGGGCATGGATTGCTGTGGACAGACAAGGACCTGAGGTCCATCTAGTCCTGAATTTAACTTTACACTTGACCCACATAGCAGCCAGGAGATTCCTTTTAAAGCAAACATTTCATTGTGTGTAGAATAAAATCCAAATTCTTTTTGATGCTTATGGGTTATCCCACAGCCTGGCTTCTGCCAACTTCTTCAGGTTCATCCTACTCCAGTCTCCCTCTCACTGCACTGTGGCCACACTTGCTCCTTCCTGTGTTTCTACCCCATCCAATTCCTTCCCACCCCAGGGCCTTTGTACATGCTATCACCTCTGCTTACAGTGTTCATTCTCTCCGGTCTCCACAAAATTGTCAACTGAAGGCCTTTCTTCCACTTCATCTAATGTCAGCCTCCACTAGGGACTATAGAGTGAACGGTTTTTCCCTTCACAGAACTTGCCACAGCCAGTAATTAGCTCCTTTCTCTAATTGTTTATTGTCTGTCTCCACCTAGAATGTAAGCTTCATGTGGAAAGGCTCTTTGTCTGTAAACCCCTGTATCTTCACTTCTCAGCTCAGGGTGTGGTACAAAATTGCACAATAAATAGTTGGGTGAATGAAGGAAAGGGACAGCCACTTTCATCAAGATTGGACTGGAAAGGAGACTGAAGGAGATTCTTGCTGAGACAGAGGAACGGATCCTGAATCTAGGCAGGGGCAACAGCAGACACAGTGAACTCTTGAACTGCACATTTACATAAGCCCATACGTGATTTTTTTTAAAAAACCAGTTTGAATCAGATTTTTGGTTGCTTACAACCAAGAGCATTAACTGATACTTTCCTCTTAATACTGTTTTTATATTTGCATGTCTTCCCAACAGTCAAGAAGCATCTTGAGGGGGGAGATTGTGTATCTGGGTATATTTCTGTCTTTGGTTCCTGACACATAGCAAATCGTCAAAACCTGTTTGTTGAACGAGTCTGCCCTTGCTTGATACAATGGCCTTTCTCTCACCTGGAGGACATTTAATAGATAAACCTAAGTCATTCGAAACTGTGCTGGAAGCCAGGACAGAAACAACAAAGGTTTCCAAACAAGCCAATATAATTTTTTTCACTAAAGCATGCACAGTTTACATTTGAGAGTCTCTCACATGTCCCCATCTGTGGCCTCTCCTTTCTTAACTCAGACGTAATTCTAGCAATATTGTTTTTCTTTTGTGTTTGATCTTTGGCCACAGGAAAGGAGAGGTGCTAGCAGCAGAAGGCCGTAGCAAGGGGAGGTGAGGGATCTGCTCCACAGAGCTGTTCAGGGGCCCAGGTTCTTTCTCCAGGTGTTGTCCTACTCTGCCCAGAAGCACTGATACCACATGGGCTTCCCAGCCAGTGGAAAGGGGGAAAGAGGAAGCGAAGGGCCCTCCTTTAGGGAAGTAACGTGTAAGTTGCCTACATTACTTCTACTCACACTCTATTGATGAAAACTAAGTCACAGTCACATTAAGCTACAGGGAAGCCTGGAAAATATTGTCTGTAGTGGGAAAGGCAAATATTCTACTACAAGGAAGAAGGGGAAAATGGGTTCCTGGGGACTAAAAACTACATGTCTAGATATAATACTAATTTTATATTAAAGTGCTTGGCATGGAGTGATACTCAGAAACTGTTAGCTCTTATTATTGGCATGCATGGTTTCCATCTCTGGTTTCAGGACAACTTCTTTACTTTTACAGCTGAACATAGGATTATAGAGACCAGGTTCAGAGCCATAGAAACTTTCCAGAACTTCTTCCAACTCCCTACAACTCTGACTTCCTTAGCTAGTCAGTGCTGTGATCTGGTCCAGCACTAGATAAAACTAACGAGTCTCCATAATTTGTTTTGGCCTCTCTCCCTGCACGTTCCATTTACTGGCTTCTGCCATGGTTGTGATGCTGCTTCCTGGGGTGGCTGGAAAGGAATCCCATTCCCATCCTCTCTGGCCAGTTTCCATATTTCCAGTGCACTTAGTACCTTTGCTTTTCCATTTTGATTACCGAGATTTGCATAGCTATCCATTACCCTACTAGATTGAGCTTCTTGAGGGCTGGAACCACCATTTGCAATTCTTTGCATGCCCAATACCTGAGACAGTGCCTGGCATCAATAATGCATTCTGTTTGTTGAATTAAATAAAATTGATGTGAATCAAATGTGTGCATAACGTTTCAAGGAGTGGACTTCATTGAAACCAAATTTGGTGCATTGTTAAAAGGGCATCATAATAGCTTCAAATTAGCATTTTAGCTCAGTCAGCTATCTTGAAATAAGACCATTTGTCTTTTGTAAGCAGATTTTAATGTCTTGACGTATGGGTTTAAAAAAATGAAGGTGCATTAAAAATTCATTAATTTTTGACTAATCCCATTGTTTCACAAATGTGTAGTATTCTACACAACATTTCATGTTCATGATTGCCCTAAAAGAACTCTTTAATTCACATTGCTGCTAGTAATATTTGGAGATACTTCAACTCTACTGTTTATGCCAAAGGAGAATGGTGAGGAACATTTATGTCCTTGTCCTCAGACTCGGCACACATGCCCTGCACTCTGGGACTTAGCTCAAGTAGTTTCCTCTGCTTCCAGCACTTACCAGTTAGACCCCATCCTTCCTCCCCGGCTCCACTCAAACACCGCATCCTCCAGCAGGTAAGTCTTCCCAGATTCCCCAGCCCACAGCAGCTTGCCTTGCCTTCCGCATGGTCCCCAAACTCTGTTATTTGCATCTGTCCTATTGCACTTTTATAGTCTGTCTCTCTGTGAAGTAATTGACTTACGTGCTGGTCTTCTCTGAGCCTCAAAGCGGCTCATAGAAGTAAAAGCAACAGCTTTCATTCAGACAGCCTTGACTTCACCAGTGATGAACTTCTATAACCTTGGGCACTTTATGTGACCTCCATTAGCCCCATCATCTTCATAAATAAAACTGGGATTCTAATATTACTTCCTACATTGGTTTTTGATGGGTTAATGTATTTGTTTTTTAAAAGCACATTATAATGAACTTCCCACACGCCAGGCACTGTTCTAGTGGTTTATAAATATCAACTCATGTAATGTCATAATATTTTTATGAAATACTCAGCTTGTTATTAAGTTATTACTCTCAGCTCCAGATCTACCTTTGTATCCTCTGGTTTATCACTGGTGCTAGGACTCTGCAAACCAGTTCTTCTTGGGCAGCAAGTTTCCTATTAATTTCTGCCAATAGGGGCACTCAAGAGAGATGGAAGTCCAGAGAGGAGGCATTTCCTCCTTTCCCTGGGCTTGCTTTTTTTTTTCCTTTCAGTAACCCCCACCCCCCACCCCCCACCCTTCCAACCACCCAGCATCAGCGTCTGGTCCAGCCTCCACTGTCCTCCCACATTCTGGAACAAAGCCTCACAGGCCCCCACAAACTTAACAGGTCTTTTCCTCCACGGGTCTAGTTTCTTGGTTGTCCAGGCCTCTTCCCTTTGGTCCTCCAGCCTTAGAGGTGGGAGCTGCTCGCTCTCTGGTTACCTTCTGTGATTGCCTCAAAACTCCGTTCCTTCTCATTCAGCCCTGGAGCATCTGTGAAACCAGTTCTTTCTGTTAAATTTCTTTTGTTGAGCGACACTTAACTGGAATCTGGTCTTCCTGACTGGACCCTGCCTGATACTAGTACCATTATTATCTCCATTTTACAGATGACAAAATAAAACCTGGAGAAGTCAAATAACTCACTGAAGTGGACCACGATTTAACCCAGGCTCCAGAGGCCCTGACGCTCATCAGGACACTAAGGGCTTACGTTTAGGAAGCGCTTAGTGAGGCCTGGTACAGGTGAGCACTAAATGTACTGTAGTCATCTGATCCCCAGTTATCATCCTCATTGTTAACTCAGCAGCCTTGTATCTTACACCACACATAGCACAGGGTTGTTTGCAACAAATGCCTGCCGGACCGAATTTGACTCACCTGAATAGGGAAGGCCAAAGTGGCGCAGAGGGCATGAGTTAGAAACTCCTCCTTTGGAGTTGTTTTCAGGGTAACTGACTCTCCCTCTCTTCTTTTCCCTCTCTACACCTCCCTGCCACCCTCCCCTTGCTCCATCAAGTGGGAATAAACAGTTCCCTGACATTCTGAAAATGCCACAAGGGGAAATGAAACGGTAATTTGGTTGGGTAAGAGAAGAAAACATGTTTCTTATTTTTCTATTTCATTGCATTCTATTGCCCTATTCTTCTGTTGCACTGCCCTC